CCTGTGCTACTTCAGATAGTGCATGCTCATTTTGCCTGTTTTTCAAATGAACAAAAAATATTTCAATTATTAAACAGACTTCTAAAAATGTATTTTTGGTCTCTGTTTCTTTCTTTTTTTTTAATATTTTCTCAGAAGCAAGTTATTTTTAAATTTAGTACAGACTTTGCTCCTCCTCAACAAATACTGGTACAATACTTGGTAATGATTAAAATTGATAGGAACTTAGTACTGTTAAGAAATAACTGTGTACCTTCTGAACAGTTCTTCCATTTAAAAAGTCAGTCTTTTTCTCTCTGTTTTTCAACCTGTGAAGTCCTAAACTTTTGAGGTGGGGAGAAGTAAACTTGGGAACTACAGGACACTAGAATATCTTAAAAAGAGAGTATTAGTAGGTTTTAAATATTTTGAAACAAACATTTCAGACTAAAATGTAGTCACATTTTCTCATCTCATTTTTTGAGATGGTTTCACTTTTTCCAAATATGCTGAGAAAATCTGTGCTTTTTCTACGTGTATGTAATTTCCCTGAAATATGAGTTCCAGAATTCTGGGGTTTAATCAATTAAATCATATTAATTAAGAACAGGAACAGCACAATCAAAAAATGGAGAGTATTTTCATGTGATGATGTTTCATAGAGGAACACATTTGAACTTTCTGAGTGGACTATTTTGTATAACAGAATAAAATATCACTAAAGCTATGAATGATACCAGGGCATTAGTCTTTTTAATGGAACTAAATAGCAATGTAAAATGTCCTTTTTTCTTTCTCAGATGTCAAGCCACTTTAAAGCAGTATCTGTCAATCTCAGAAAATGAATATTCGTGATTTTTTACTGGATGCACTAAATGCTGAAATTATATTCAAAATATGCAACATGTTTTGTGCCAAGAAAATGACTCCACAGAATGACCGTCTGCAAATCAGAAAATACTCTTGGGCAGATTTGGAACTCAGCATGTGGTGCTTACTGCAGACAGCACAATAACTAATTTTACAAGAGATAGGCATAACTTTACACTGATTTTTGTCTGAGCCTAGCTAATGAAGTAGGATGTGGCTTAGAATGGTGTAATGCCTGTCTATGTCAAATAATTTTCTTATTAGAAAGGAAGCAAATGTAATCACATCCAACTTTTCCAAATTGTGCAATATTTAGCCATGCAGATATATACAGAACTTTTGGTTTTGCCTTCCTTAGGCAAGGATTTCCATGCACAAGTCAGCCTAGTGGCAATACCTGTTCCTGGACGTGATTTGTATATCAGGTGCTGCTGAGGCATTTTCAAATTTGATTTGCTGAAAAAAAATAGTTACATCTACCCTGTCCTTCCTAGCTGTGCAAGCTGAAAAAAGTCTTTAGGCAATCCTTTCCACATCACTAGTCTATCTGGCCGTCTGATCAGGGAGCAGTCACAGAATCATAGAATGGTTTGGGTTGGAAGGGACTGTAAAGACCATTCCATTCCAATCCCCTGCCATGGGCAGGGATACGTGTCACTGGACCAAGTTGCTCACAGCCCCATGCAACCTGGCCCTGAACACTTACAGGGCTGGGGCACCCACAGTTTCTCTGGGAAACCTGTTCCAGTGCCTCACCTCCCTCACAGTGAAGAATTTCTTCCTAATATCTTGTCTAACCTACCATTTCAGTTTGAAGCCATTCCCCCCTTCTTATCACTAAATGGTCTTGTAAAAAGTCTCTCTTCACCTCTCTTGTAGGCTCCCTTCTGCTGCTGGAAGGTCATGTTAGTTCACCCTAAAGCTTTCACTTCTCAAGGCTGAACAAACCCAATTCTCTCAGCCTCTCCTAATAGGAAAGGTGCTCCATCCCTCTAAGCATCTTGGTGGACCTTAGATAAAATGCATATTTAGTGCAGTGACAGATGTTTGGTTGTCCTTATTCTTCTTATTTTCTTCAAATACTGCTTTTAGACTCCTTAACTCCCACGCAGGAAAAGTACTGTGCCTTCTGTTGCAGGCATGCAAAGAGTTGCTGCCAGGACACTCTGACCTTGATTACACAGAATTGCTCTATGAATATGTTTTCTGAAGTTCCCAGCATTTTTACTAAAAGCATTGTTAACTTGAACCCTGCAGTTGCTTGAATACATTTATTGTTCACAGAGGTTCAAAACCCAAAGAATCCCAGTCTTCCTACAGCCTTTGGGAACACTGAGTTCTGTAAAACCAAGACATACTACCAAAAGGAAGACAGATAGCTGCTTTTTTAGGGAGTGGGGGGACATGTAGCCCAGTTGTTGTTGTGGTTTTTTTGGTTTGTTTTTTTTTTTTTTTTTTTTTTTTTTTTTTTTGTTTTTTTTTTTGGTTATTTGATTGTTTGGAGTTTTTTTTTTTTGTTTGTTTGTTAGGATTTTTTTTTAAGTCTTCTCTGCTCTGCCAAGACAGGGCATGCAAAGAGTAGTCAAGGCTGCCTTGTGAAGCCTTGCCCTGGGCTTCAGCTTTCACCTAGTTATTTCCTCTCCTATCTCAAGTGGTAGTTTTGATCAACAAGGTCCTTGACTCAGATGAATCTATTGGGTAACACATTTAATGTCTGGTTATCAGGAGCTGGCAGATAGGAGAGGTAGTAGCAAAACTGCTACAAGACCAAACCCTGCCCTAGAAAAATAATGAGATTGCACACATTTTTTGTTGGGTTCAGTGGCCTGAAAATCCCCTTGTCTTTCTGTAAGTTCCATGCTGCCACTAGAGAGAGAAGATGATGGGGGCAAATAGGAAGAGAAAGGAAATGATAGACTAATTTATCCCTCAAGCCCATATCTCAGAAATCCAAGTCCTTTCTGTGAGAGGCAAAACCTACAAGGTATCTCAATGTACCAGTTGAACCACTGGAATAGACAAAGAGCTCACAAGTGTTGGTGATGTCTCTGTGAGTGCAGCTTGCAGTCAAAATGCCTGGAAAACTAAGACACACCTGGTGAAGGAAGAGGCGTGGATCTGAAAGACTGAAGTGGGCTGGAGACCACCACTGGCCTGAACTTCTCATTCTATTACCTCCAAAGGATTTGGTTCAGCAGAAGAAAGAGACGGGAAACCACAAGTTTTAGCTCAGTAGCCAGAAAGGATGACTCTGTAAAAGATGATGTCTGCTTGTTTTTCTTGAGTCAAACAAAAGCATTTTTGGTGAATTTTTCTTTTGAGAGGTGTACTATTTACTTTTCCCTGGTTACATTTTCAGGAATAACACTTGTCCCAGTATTATGGTGATCACTGTGTGATTCTTGCTGTGTTTTATTTCTAAAATGCATCAGACATGTTCTTTTAAGCCAACTGCTTTTTAATTGCTCTGTAAGAAAATCTAGTTATTACTTTAACTAAAACACTTGTTTGGAGTAAAAAAAAAAAAATGTGGTGAAGGTGGGAACTAAATACAGGCTCTGAACTGTGAATTAGGGTATTGTTGTAGCTATAATGGTCTTGAGTGCATATGCAAGGCAGGGTTTGTAGTGAGAGGCAATTTTATTAGATAAACAGATGTAGCTGGGGGAAAAAAAGGCATAAGAGAAGCTATGGAACAAACCACCTCTCCTCTAGACCTGAATAAAAGATAGGGTACTTGAAAGATTTTTTAACCATCTCTCGCTATAAATCTTACACTTCTTCAGAATGGCAGGACTGTAAACCTGCTTCAGTGTGTTCCATTCCCCCAACCACCCATCTCCCCGAACCAATAAAATGTGATTCTTTCAGGTGATTCCAACCTTGAACTGGGTCCAAGCTAAAAGCTCACAAGGCATGACATTATATCAGTTACTGATTGCCACCTGATATAATCTGTCACATTTGCTGAGTGAATGCTGATATACGTGTATGGCATTGTTCTCCTGACTCACTTGTTGATCCTGTGCATAGTTGAAATATACAGCACATGGCATAAAGTTAATATAATTTATGCTTTATCTAGATGATATTTCAAAGTTTTGATTATTTTGCCTGTTCTTCTAGTTCATAGTTTCCCATTCTTTTGTTTTCTGGTTTGGTTTTTTTGGCTTGGTTGGTTGGTTGGTCACTTGGTTTGGTTTTGGGTTTTGGGGGTTTTTGCATAAAGTATGTGTTATTTGCATGGTTTTGGCTCTAAATATAATGTGCTGTTAGTCTCAATACATATAAAAATAGTTAAACAAGGTTGGGAGTCACCTTTGCTTGTTCCTGTGAAACCATTCTGTCCTGTAGTGGGACAAGCCTATTAAAGGCTTGTACTTAGTGGTCAGAGGAAAGGCCTGTGTGTGTACAGGAGCAAATTCTAAACACTGACCAGACTGACCATTCAGATAATAAGTTGCTAAATACTGAGAGGAACTGTAAGATTTGTTTGGAGCAGTATAATTTCAAGAGTTTTTGTGATGTAGAGTTACTCTTCTATGAAAGGGTAAAAATTCACATCCGTTTTGGACATACATTTCCTTCAGTCAACCCAAGTGTGATGGGAAGAATGAAGCAACGTTAAAAAACTGAAACAAAATATTGTTTCAGGCAATGATTTTCCCTATAATATAAGTGTAAGGTCACTAATAAACTACTCAGACTGTATTGAAATAATACAAATTAAAATGTACATCTCATGTACTGTATAGAATGTACATATTACCAAGAGTATTTTAGGGTTCTGTTACTATTTAACTCCTGGTGGTTTTGCTCTAACTGGAAAAGTGCATAGTATAGTAGTACGAAAAATTATGCTTTCTAACTCCCACATTAAAATAAACTTTTTATAAAAGAAGGTGTTAAGCAATGTACAAAAGTGAGACTGGAAAGATGGTATTATGAGCATTATTCTGATTTACACTGAGAAAAAGTCTTTTTAATAGTGTGAGGAAACATTTTCTTTTTTAAAGGAAAGCTAACTGACCTGCTAACTATCCTCACTTGTGCACAGAAATACAGTTGAAACTATTCTCTCCAGTGCATTTCAAGCATAATGAAGAAACCCACACATTCTTTTGCCATAAAGCTTTTTTCTGTCTCTTCAGGGAAGCAATCAGTCGTGTTTGTGAAGCCATGCCTGGTGCCAAAAGAGCCTTCAAGAAACGAAAGGTATTTTTTCTCTTGTAGTGCAGTTGACTGTATTTTCTCTGTACAGCACAGTGGAGACCAGGCACAGCAGGCAGGTGACTTTAAGGCAGCTTTGAGAATTGCAGATGATTAATCATTTAAAGTATTGGCTATTTTTACTCACTGTATGTTGTCACTTGCCCTTTTGGTCAGGATCTGCTTTTATACGCATCTGGAAGTATAAGTACATCTAGGATGAAGATTGTGCCTTTATGTTCCTTCCATAGAAACCTCCTCCTTTTACTTTCTTTTGTAGATTGCAGGTGGAAGAGTTAAAACCAACAAATGGGATGTCTTTCCATAAAATGCATGAGTAAATTATGGAAATAGGTGCTGGAAGATACAGCAGAAGCCCAAAACATATATAGTGTTGAAAGTGACTAGATTTGTTTTTGAAAGATAGATATACTGATGACGTTTGAAGAGTTTGGTAATCACTGATTTCTGGAAATGGAAAGAGCATATGAGGTGATCCTTTGTTCCCTCTGCTTTTTCCATAAACACCTGTGGCTGATGCTCAGTGCCCAGTGCTGATGGTGAGTCCAGTGTGTACCTGACATCATTACTACCATGCTTTTATTTTTATTTGTGTGCTGGGAGTTAGAGTCTTCCTACAGGGAGAGGAGGAAGCCTTGGCTCAGCTCCTGCCCTGATGGCTCTCAACAGTCTCTTCCAGAGGCCTGCTAGCAAAGCTGGGATGTGGTGCTATCTCTAAGGAAAGAAGCATACAAAGTAGTTAATTATAGCTCTTGTGTGTGTTCTTGGGCACAGAAGGAGAATGTGCAGGTGAAGGAAAAGGTCTGCCTGCTTCTTCAGCTGCTGTACCATCTGGGCAGAATCTTAACAGAAAGGAACGCAATGAAATGCCACTTGTTTGCAACGGAGGATCTGGTCCTGGTAAAGTCAGTCATATGTGACAATGTGTCACAGTGTAATTGGAAATTGTCTCAGAAATTAAGACTATGGTTTCACCTCCACCAAATTTATCTCATTGGCATTTCTTGGTTCTCTGGCTTTTCATTTTAAATTTGAAAGTAAAGACAAAATTATCTTTCTTCTTGGAAAGCAAAATGACACAAAATGTAGCTGAAAAAATAAGTTAAACAGAATTCCAAGTGCCTAGTGAGACACCTTGCTGTATTACAGGTTTTAAAAGTAATGTTGCTTATAAGTTGTTGAAAAAGAGCAACAGAATTTCAGATAAATGTCAGACATGTGTCTTTTGCTGGTCTGTACATTCATCATGTTTCTGCCACTAGTAGCATATCAATTTGGTTAAGGTGACGTGTACTTCCTGAAGCCAAATTTTCACACTTTACCTGCACTGTGGGTAGGTGATCCTTAGGCATGACTCGGGAATCATGAAGGATTAAGGAAAGAAGAGATACAAGAATATTCAAAAGAGTTTGTTCAAAAGAGAAGTTGATGAAGTACTAGCTCTGTAACATGAAGGGTTGAAATAGTGCAGCATGTTACATAGAAGCAGTATGTACGTAATATATTTTTAATCAGTTAAACAGAAGGGAAAGAAGATAAAATTGAACGTATGTAAACTTTCAGGACTACGGAAGCTCAAGTGTGTCCATCCTACTAGGAACAAAACCATCCAAGCTTGCAGGAAGCTTAGGACAAGTGCAAACATAGTGGCAGAAGAACACTGTCTCCAGTAATTTTGTGTTTATATCCTAATGACCAGCATGAATATTCACCAGTGCAAGTAGAGCAAGTTAAAGGGCTTGATCTGTTACTGCTGGGCAGCCTTTTTTTTTACAGGCTGTGTTTACTTGGATGCAGCTGGTGTCATGCAGCTATGTGGTTCCCCATAGCTGTCAAAAGTGAGAAGTTTATGAATTTTCCTTTGACAGCATAACTTCTGTTGCTGCAATGCCTCCTAAGAGCTGGTGGCATGCCTATAAAAGTTATCAATACTATTACATCCCCTGTATTACATTCTTAGACTTATTCTCTGATAATCTTTAGATGCATATTTCCCCACAGCATAAAGAGGTTTTATTTGTCTGTTCTGGCTTTTACCTACTCTAAAGTCTACAAGAAAAGTCATAGAATGGTTGGGGTTGGAAGGGACCTTTAGAGGTCATCTAGTCCATAATACACCGTATCCCATTTTGTGAGCATTCCATTGGTATCACTGGAGTCCCACTTTCCATATGGCAAGGAATGGTCAGTAGATGTAGAGAAAACAGTAAATTTCAAGAGCTGAAGCTATTTTTATAGGACAAAACCATTGTTGTTTTAAGATACTGACTGAAAGCATTCATCTTAGTCTGCTTACTTGGTCCCTTGGTGAAGATGAAGATGACACTGGTGCTGTCCCACAAACCCCCTTTTTTTTTTTTTTTTTTTTTTTTTTTTTTTTTTTTTTTTTTTTGTGAAGAGTAGATGAAGAGCTGCTTGGCTAGTATAATTATTATTATTATTACTGTTATTATTAATAGTAGTAGTAGTTATTGTTGTTGTAGTAGTAGTAGAATAAATGAGAAATAATTTCCAGAGGAAGACATCTTGTTGCAATTAAATGATCTCTGAAAAGTCGTAAACTTTTTAGAAGCCTTTAAGATCACACTAACCCTGCATACAATGAAGGTCATTCAAAAAAATCAGAGAACCAAAATCTGCTTTTTCCCCCCCTCCTCACAGCCACCAAGCAAAGTCCTTTCTAGCATCTTGGGAAAGAGCAATCTTCAGTTTGCAGGAATGAGCATAATGTTGAATATCTCCACCAGCAGCTTAAATCTAATGAATCCAGATACAAAACAGGTGAGTGTAACTTCTGTATTAACTTGTGAGGCTTTTGATGAACAGCCTGCTACACAATTATTTGCTGTCTGCCAAATACTCAATTGCTCAAACTTATTCCTCAATAATTTCATAAAATGAATGAACCCAAAATATAATCATAGTGGAAGTCAGCTTATTTCACTATTCAATACAACTTTGATAAATTATTTTCTTCTTGCCATGTTTCAGGTAGATTGGTTTTGCTCTTAAAAGACCTATGATGTGAAATACCATTATCTGGTTGTGAGAGTTCTTATTGAATAAAATTACAAACTTCCAGAGTCATAAAAGGGGTGTGCTTGGAGCAACAGCTAAAATACTGAATGTGCATCCCCAATTTTGTTGTTTTCTTCCCATTTAGAGTCTTAAAGGCCAAACTGTTCCTGAGGCACTGCCAAAAATACAGCCTCAGGGATTTTGCAGTGCAGTGAAAGGCCAGACTTTTAGAGAGACAAGGCAGCCTTTTTAAAGTAGCTCATTTCTTCTTCTTCACTGTGCTGAAGGTACAGATAGACTTTGGGGAATCACTGCAGTGGTTTGTGAATGATGTATGAGATGAGAAAAATCCTTGCTCAGGGTATATATAAAAAGGAAGCAGACAGACATGCGTAGTCACTGCTGTGCTATTTGCTGTGGACCACATATTGCATTAGGGCATGCAACTTTCTGCCCAGATACAGACAGAGAGAAAAGAAGTAAAATTCCTACTGTCCTTTGGGGCCTCAGGTTTAAAAAATAAGAAAGAATATATATATACCATTTATTAAAAATCTTGCTGTTCATTAGTATGTTTTTATTCGTATATCTTCATTCTTATTCTTATTTAGAAAACATCACAATTCTCTGCAGTGAGCACTGAGACTGGGGGAGCAGGGCTATGACTGGCAGTAGTCTGTAGCCTTACTATGGAATATACACAGCAGTGCTTTTCATAAAGACAGTTACTCCTCATCAGAAGCATAAGAACGTGATGTTAATTAGCTTTACTAAGGAAGTGCCAAACCCTGAAAGTCAGCTTGTCATCAGCCAGTGCTACGGCAGAAATGTAGTAAAACTCATTTATTTCAAAGAGTCATCCACTACATGTTTTGCCTTTTTCTCTGAATTTACAAAACTGTTCATCTTTCTCTTATATTCTTTTTGAGGTAGACACTTCTAGGTGCTGCAGGCCTGGGAAATGTCTGGTTTCTCAGAGATCCCCAGTCTGGCTGTGGCCTCCCCTGTTTCTTTTTTATGCCGAAGATTCGATTTGCAGATAAGCATGGCCCAGCAGCTTTCCCCTGTGAGGCCCCACACAGGAGGATGGCTGCAAACTTCTGTAATAGTTTCTTTTTCCCAGCAGATCTGAAAGGAAAGAAAAGACAAGCCAGGGTTGTTGGCCCTTGTGGTAGAAGGAAAGTAGCTGCATGTACCCGTGCACAACAGTTCTGTGAACATATTAAGCAGAGATGAATGGAACATGATTTTGTTTTGCTTATTTCTTTAAAATGAAGGTTGGCATAGATTAAAATGTTTCTGAACTGTATGCCAACATTAGCGAATTGTTTTATTTTAAACAATGCAAGGCATTGATACTTTGCTGTATTTCTGTTCAGTATTTTGATATTGGTAGAGGTGAGGTGGGGAACACTCCTACTTCAAACTAAATTAGCTGTGGAATTAAAAAAGCCCACCTGACTTGAACTAATGATTTCAAGCACTTTTCACCCTCCTTAAAATTTGGGGAAAATTAGTTTAGTGACAATCTGAAATAATTTTTCTTTTACATGCTGAAATAAAAGATTAGGTTATTTGCACAAGTCAAGATAGTGATAATATGAAATTGCATGACAGAACTTCACTACTTCAGTTCTGTTGTTAAGATAATCTACATTCTATATGTATTCTATGTACTATATATTCTATTGTTACTTCTTTAAGGGGAAAAAAGAGAAGGAAATCCTCACTGCTGGGTAGCAGAACACTAATTTACAAATATACACTTAAAAACTAACCACATCTTTGGAGGCTGTTGTGGGAAAAGCAGGGCTATTGAAAATGAAGTGCTCTTTCCGTAAAAGAAACACTACAAATAGTTGTCACCTCTCTCTGACTTAGTGAAGCAGCAAGATCCAGAGAATGTTCTGTCAGATTTTTTTATTTCCAAGGAAGGTGGTTGATAGTTCAGGTCTTTAAGAAGCAGGTTAGGGGAAACAGCAGAGAGAATATTTTTCTAGTCTATTTTGTTTTTTCCAGAATGGTTTTTTGTATGTGGTTCCCTCTCCAAAGTGAAGAATCAAGATCCTAAATCTTATTGTGAGAAGCTCTGAGGCACTTAACAGTGGCCTGTTCCATCCCAGATGAATTCCTTGGCATGGCTTCTGTGACTCAAATATCAAGTGAAAATTTCTTTCAAATGACCTTTTCTTTCTTGGTTGTTACATGATTTCATTATTAAAAGATTTTGTAAGTTGATTCTCAGAATAGCAGAGATGTTCTGCTTTTATTAGAGGTTCAGAACAAATTGTCTTTTCCCAGAGAAATAACATATTAGTTCAAATTGTACATAAGCAATTTGAATTTCAAATGGCCTGGAGTGTGCCTGTGAATTTGTCCACAATGCTACACTGCAGCTAGATTCAAAATTCTATTTGCATATTGTAAACATGTTGATGTTTGAAACATAAAATGACACAGTAGGTGTTGGATGCAATGTTAGGAATCTTAGCTGGTGTAGAGGTTGGCATGGTTTCATTGATTTCACCAGAGTGGCATCAGCAGAAAAATGGTTTGATGAATAGGACCTTTTGTTTCATTCATCATTATCTGTAATAAAGAAAGTGAGTTTTAGCAGATTAAAATTTCTCCAAAGACACTCTCTGACAGGTCTGTATGATTTAGTAGACTTCTGAGTACATTTAGCAATCTTGCAGTATCCTGATACATTTTAAAGAACACCAGAATAGAAACATTTATCCTTAAGTTTGTTTATGTTATCTTGCTATTCTTTGAAGTCCTTATAGGTCCTTATTTGATCTTGATTTTGGATTTTCACCAGCATACAAGCAAAAAAACAGAAATCAGAATTGCAAACTGTAAGAAACCCATCTGACTCACACTTGTTCTTTCTGATCCATACAGATCATAGCAAATCACCATATGCAATCTATCTCCTTTGCGTCTGGAGGTGATCCGGTAAGCGTTGCTGTAAAGCGTTCTCCCACATAGAAACTGCTTTACGAGGGCTGTGTGACAAAATTTAAAGCATATCTTACTAAAAGGAAAAATCACAACAGCTCCTGTTTCTTCTTTCATAATTTTTTCTTGATTGTTGCCATCAAGCTCTCTTTGAGCAGAATGGCTGACAAGCATTCATGGATCCTCCCCTTCGAATGAGTGTAACAAAAAGTATCAAGGGGCTGTAAGCATTCATATAGCAACTGATAAGCAGGGCTTTGTTTTTCAGAGTAATGTAGAATAGTTATATGGGTATTGTATGGATTTTCATCCTGTTATTTGTCTTGCACTTTTTACAATAATAGAATATGTTGCAGCTGTATTTATAGTATTTATAGTATTTATAGTATTTATAGTAATGCATGCTTTTCTTTTTTTTTTTTTTTTTTTTTTCTTTTCTTCTCAACTGTAAGTGTGAATTGAGAAGACTGTGCTAAATTCTGCCTGCAGGTATATTTGCTACAGTCATGCAGGTTGAAGACAGGCTTTCAGAAAAAGCACAGGTCTTTCTTTTCTGTTTTGCAAAGCTTTTAGATGCACCTACAAATTTTATTTATTTAGATCAAAGGGCAGATTCGTGCTTATTGTGCTTTTCCTTATTTTTATAACCTGTTCATCCAAAGGTATATTAATAAATGGGCTTCAAAAGTATTTGTCATTCAGGAAGCAATGGGAAAAATATAAATTAGTGACAGTGCTTACCTCTTACCTAAGAAGTTTGAAAGCTTTTAAACTTAGATTAATTGAATGAGTACCTTTTTCTCCATCATGTGATTATCTGTCATATATCAGTTATGTACTACAAGTAAGGCAATTTCTAGCTTGCTTTGTGAGTTAATTCTCTTAGTTCAGTTCTGTTAAGGTGAAGATGCTTGGTGCTTTCTCTGTTCATTATGTTTTTGTCAGAAAACATAAAGACAAATTCTATCTTAGTATAGCTTCACTGAGCTCAGTACAATTGCAGAAGGGAAAAGGACACAATATCACAATAATTTGGGGAACAAAAAATGGATCAACAGCAGCTTGGAAACACAACAGATTGCAATGGATGCTGTAAATGAACAATTCCTGAAGTGGGCAGAGGAGTGATTAGCACAGTTCCCTGCCTCCGTAAGAAGATTCTTTGCTACCCATCTGCCATCCCAAATGCTAGGTCCTGGAAACACCATTTCACACTGCCCACTGATGAAATGATTTACCAGGAAAGAGGAGAGGAACAGCAGTAGAGTTCTGGATTTGGAGTAAACAAGCTCTTCCAAATGTTTTAAAGAGATAAAAATCTCGCTACTGAGTCAGTGAGCTACCAGAGAAATAAAATTGCATGGTGCAAGGGAGCCTACAAGGTACAGTAAAATTATGAATTTGTGTTCCCAATAAGACTACTGCATGAATTCATTCTGATGTTGGGAGGAAGAAAGTAGGTATAAGTATCTAATGTTTTTCTACAAGCTTCTCTCTGGTCAAGTAAGGAACAGCTTTAACTCAAAAGCTTGTGCAAAAAGCAGCTAGTTCCTTTGTCCTGGGTGCATGTTGAAGATGACAAAATGCAAGGATGTGATTTAGCTCACAGCTTTATTTACTCATCAGAGAGGTATCTAAACATAACTTTCATCAGCCCTTAATGATTTCTACTTGGTAGTGGACTGCCATCACCAAACTGCATCTCCCAACCACAGCTGGCCTCCAGACCAAAAATGTATCTCCTTATATGACTTTTAAACAGGTTGGAGAAAAGCCATAGTGACCTAGGAAGCTAGATATGTGCCCATGTTTCTTCAGGAAGTGATTCCCTTATTTTGAAGTTATTTTGGAGTTTTGTTTACTAGGAGGTGAGACAACTCTCACTTCTCTACCCTGCCAGCCTTTCTGCTCAGGCTATCTGCCTCCATTTGTCATAGCAGTTGCCTTTACAACCTTCCTTCTACTCCCTTTCCATTAATTATATTATTCAAAATATAACCCCTGGAGAAGTGTTCCACAGTTCTTGAGAAAGGACAGTATTCTCCTTTGCATATTCTGGCTGTGCCAGAATATGGGAGCTTAAAAATCTCTGTACCAAATCCTTTTATGTGCCATTTCAGAACCATTTTTATTTCACTTCCAAGGCTGTGTTCTCAATCTGCTTTAGCTCTCTTCAGCCCCTCCTGTGATACGCTAAACAATTTTGCTCCACAGTAATTTCAGGTGGCTGTTTCCAGGCTGTCAGAGAAGACATCTGTTTTTTGGAGATATCTGCTGAAATTTTGGAGTGGAGGATGTCATAAGGTCTAATAAGGCAGGTCTATCAGAGGTCCCTGAAGGCAGTAGTTTTTCAATTTCAGCAATACCTCCACATTTTAACACTACAATGCAATGTCTTTAGGCTGAAAATTACAGCTCATTCATACTTGTTTCATACATGTTTTCAGTTCTTGAATGTCAAGGATCACTTTGCTGCATCAGCCAAGTCCTGTACAGTTTTTGGATGAGGGTCTTCTAACTTAGCCACACTGAAATGTGCCCACCTTAGGTCCTTAATGGTTTGTCATAGTCAGCTTGAATCTCAGAGCTTTAAATGAAATAAGGTGTAGGTGATTTCAGACTGTCACACCCACGCTAGCTATGAAATAGATCTATGATTTACTCAGGCATAAATGTATCCATTAGCTATGCCTGAAGTAGTAAATAAATTGATCTGTGGCCCATTTTCTAGTCTTTCTGGCCCTGAAATAAATAACACAGTGCAATTTGCACCCACACATTCACTCTCTTCCCTCGTAGTGGTCTCTTGGGATTGATGCCAAGCATGTGCTGGTCCCTCAGAGAGTTTCAGGGCATGCTGTGAGAAGCTAGTGCAGTGAGACAAGGGCTCTGTATTATTTGGTACTATAGATATAGTCACCTTTGTTTTCCCCTTACTTGTTGATGTGCATCCTTATTTCCACTGTAGTCACTGCCCAGACACTGTGCCACAGGTGTGTGAGAAATTATGAGACGAAATGGTAGGGCTATGCTTTTTTAACAGACCAGCCTCACTGCTGCCATGTCTGAGTGCCTTCCAACAATGCATTAACTGACATGGTTACACATCTGTCACCAGAGCCCATGACTGTGCTTCATCATTTCCCTTGCTCTATCCTTAGGAAGGAAATTGTGTAGACGTTCAGTACAGTGATTTGTTTTGGGTGGCTAGTGGTGGTATATGCTTGCACTAGAAAAAGCTGTGCTGAAGAAGTCTATCTTTTAACTGAAGATTGATGTTTATTATGACATTAGATCTTGGCATAATTGACAATTATCTTGGATCAGTCACCTGAAAAGGCTTTGTTTAGATTTACACAGCCAGCTGTAACGCAGCCTGTATATCCCTTGGGTTTAGCCTACCTGACTAGCCAGGCATGTCAGGAAATACCAGACCTAACCAGGACTTCCTGATTGCATCAAGGCAATATGGCATTTTTCAGATTTATCAGCAGGCCTAAGTGTTTCCCAGAAACCCAGGCCTTTCTGTTTCATCTGCATAATAATAGAAGTCTGCACCATTTGTGCACAGGAGCATAGAGTGGCAGTAGAGGAAGAAAAAAATCCTGCAAGAAGATGTCTGTGTGCTCTTGCCAGAAAATCCACCAGGCATGTGGCAACAGGTGTGTCAGGGAGCAGCCTAAGGGCAGGGGGAGGGCGTGCAGGGATACTGGGATACTGCTTGTCAGAGCCAAGCAGTGGCTGAACACCTCTGTGCCATATGGCACTGTAGTCAGTAAACACCTGCTTGTCACACATGAATAAATGCCATTGCTCAGTAGTTCTGAGGAGCAGCGCTGTTACTCCCACTCTTTCTGCCACAGAACCAGATGATTATTCATGTTATGAACCAAAATCTCTGGGTATTTTGAAGATAAGGACTTGCAATTCTATTTCCTCCTAAATGAGGCCTGGGCCAAATCCTACTGAGTTTGTTTGATTGATAGAAGAGATTTTAAAATTCTGCTGGATTAGATCATATTCTGTAAAAAGGCAAGTGGTAAAAGGAAATGAAAACTCATAAACGTTTATATGGGGGTTTAAGTAGTATGCATCTGTAGTGCAAAATATGTCATTTGGGGCTCTGCCCAAAGAACTGTACATACTCTGGACTGTGATCTTTTGCTGTAATCTGTGCAAAGATGTTTTTGCATTCATTGTAGGTATCTTAATTTTTTGACAGGATACTTCAGACTATATTGCATATGTAGCTAAGGATCCTGTTAATCGTAGAGGTAAGTTATAAATATCTATTTGATGTCTATCTTTTCTTTGAAAAACACTAATTATTAATGATTTAGGTCAGACTCCTCCTCGCCCCCGTCCCACCCTGAAAAACATGAATGTAGAATGTAGCCCAATCAAAGGATGGCCTTTGACAGAGCCATGGAAAGATTGTGTAGCAATAAGAAGCAGCAGTTTTTTCTCAAGCTTGGAATAACTAGGTCTTGCTGCTAGTTCATACCCAAATATCACTTTGATTCTCTTCATCTCTTAAATCAAACACTTGCCTTACTTGGCTGTGTAAGCTTCTAGGCAACAGCCAAGTCTCACCTACACCCAATCACTGTGCAAGAGCTAAGAAGCCTTCTGATTAAGTCCTCTGATAAGGCAGCTGTATCTGTTAGGTCTTCCCAGCATACGCCTAAGTCTTCCTAGCAGAATCAGATTCTTTATCAAATAACTAGCTTTACAGCCAGCTTGCTGTAATTCTCTTTCTCAGTAAAGTTTTATTCAAGGTTGTATTGCTTCAGTTGCAATCAGTCAGGGATAGGGACCTGCTTGTTGATTGTGTTCACTAGGTCTTAATGCAACATACAAAGTATTTTGTAATGTACCTGAGAATCTATTTACTAGTCATAGATCATAAAGAGAGAAGATCAGACTACCTCAAAAAAAAAAAAAAAAAAAAAAAAATAAAAAAATTAAGAGACATTAAGTACTTCCAATAGGATTTCCTCAGCTGCCCGCCTTACCATCAGCACAACTGACACAGTAGCTTCCATATGTAGTCATCTTCAACGATATCTGAAGAATCTGCTGAGTCCATGTGCAGAGATTTTCAGACTTGAGGGTATTAGCTCATAAATAATACCTGCCCAAAGCGTACTAATTTGCTGAATGTAAGTTAAATACCTAGAAAACTTAAAGGGAATGGGAGGTAGGGAATAGTCCAGTTCTTTGCAATGCTTGTTCCATTACAATATCCTGTTGGACAGGCTCCAGTGTCAGACTATGGAATGCATGGCGCAGAGCTGCTCTCCAGCCCACCTGCTTTAGCAGTAGCCTTCTGCTAAATCCAAGACTGATTTAGCTGTTCTGAGAGATCTCAGTCAGTGTAGGGACTAGCACTGTAGACCAGATATATGCTCTGTAGAGTTTGGAGGAGCCCTGTGCTCTGTCTTCTGTCATGTTCCTCCTGTACTATGTTCTTCCTGTATTATGTTCCTTCTATCTTACATCCTTAACTTCCTGTGACTGTTCCTTGTTGAGCTAGGCTATCCTAGACTGAGAAGTCATCTGAGCACCTGATATTGTTTTCTTCCTTTGGTGTATTCAGGTCAAGTAATTTCTCAGTTTTCTTTATAAAAAGATTGACTGATTCATTCCAGCTGCAGTGCACATCCTCCACCCTTCAGATAATTTCTGTACCTCCTTCCTTCATTTTTTTGCAGCTCTTTCAAAAAGGTATATGATATCTACATAACAGGGGCTGTCACTATAGCAGAGAATGCACCTTCCTATTTTTCCTTTGTTTTGTCTTCTTCTTCATCTGGTTCCTTCTAAACCCTTTTTGCTGCAGTGAAGCACTGTTACCTCATGTGAAATTCTTTCATGCTGTGGTCTTTAAGCCTTCAGCATTATGGCTTTCCTATGGGTGCTTTCCCCACTCATCTGTGTACAACACTCGTCAGTGTTTTGCGGATCAGTGACTTTGTATATGACCTATTAAAAGGGTCTAATTTACCAAGGAACCTGAATTGCCGTATTTTACCATCACTTGCTGTTCTGTCATTCTTTGTGTTGTCTGCAAATTACTTTAAAAGGAGATTTGTCTTTATATCTGTATTTAGTGAAAATGTTACTGCTGCTGTTACTGATGCTACCCTACCACCAATGCTGTAGTATAGCTTGCATATTAGACTCATTTCTTCACAAGGATGGAATAGCTATCTTAGTGCTTTGCATTCTGGATCTAGCAAGTTCAAGGCTGTCTATTTTCTGCTGTAACATTCACAAGAAATCATCTCTGTGTGAGCCAAACCTTCTCATCCTTTTACAAGAAGCGTATCTCCTACCTGCTGAAAGTCCATTCACGTATCCAAGGAAACAGGTTACTCATTATGTCACCTACTGAAACTACTTAATGACTCATGCTTCATTTCAGCTCCAGAAAGGTTTAGCAGTGAGCGATATCGTCACCTCCTTAAATTCGCACTCTAGTTATGGAGTGCAAACATTTTAGCTTTGTTTGGCCTAACTACTTTTGGTCCACGTTTTCAGAGATAAATGTGCACCTTCCACGGGGGCTGATTGTTCAAGGCCAATAGCAGTATTGCAGAGGGCATAAAAAAACCAATGCCTCACTGCTAGTCAGGGATGTCTGCCTCTGTCTTTGGACACATGGAGGTCCTGTTTTTGTCTGCTGAATCCACTTTCAACATGTATCTAGGGGCATTTTCCCTGGACGAGGCATTTCAGCTTGCTGGTTGGCATAGCAGATGCTGTAGGGTGAGAAGAGAACACCACTGTATCTGTTTGGCACTGTGATTGGTGCCATCTCATGCTGAATGAGGTGGTGGTGGTGGTGCTGCTGCTGCTGCTGAAGAAGAGAGAGCAGACATTCCAGACTAGCAACTGCAGGTTTCTTGGCCCTTTTTCTGGCCTCTCCAGAAGTCTATCCAATATTTCAACCTCTGAAAAAGTCATATCTAAACCTACTTCGTCTCCCTGTATTGCTTTAGCTAAATGTCACAATCAACCCTTATTTGTAGGACACTGGCATCCAATGCACTTGGTTCCAATGAGTTGGACACTGGGCTTGTACTAAAATACAGTTTTTCAGCTGAGGACTTATATTCAGGTTATTAAAGCAGTCAAGGGTGAACAAATCAGTAGCTTTGAACAAGAACCCACTTTCCTGTGGCAGGACTTGGAAAAGAGCCAGTTTGAAATCTAGTCCAGGCTATAGCCAGCAGACAATATGCTTGTCCAACTCTGAGTATGGAAAATTAACTTGCCTGGGCTTCTCTGGACATCACTGAGATGTTGTTTATTAAGATCTTTAGCTTCCACCTCTTAGCACCCATTTATGTTCCTGCAATGTTGAGTTGCAGGAATTTCACAAGTTCACCTCTTTATATTTTCACATATGATGAGACTTCCAAGCCATTCTCTGATTTAAAACCAGGACAGATATATCTGCTCAGACAGCTGATGAAGGTTTCTCAGTCTTTATTGGAAGAGAGCTTATGTTGCTGTCTGCCCCCTTTACTGCCTCAGTGGGTTCAGAGAAGTTGCACATGGAGAAGTGCTGGAGCTAATCAGATTGCTGGCTCTGTGTTCCTCAGCAGCCCTGCAGTTTGCTGGGAGTGTCTCCATGAAAACAAGCAGGAAAAGGTACCAACCTCTGTATTCCTGGAATAAGATCAGGGCTCATTATCTAGGAAGTATCTGTGGACACTGCTCCTCCCTCAGACTGTAATTTGGGAAAAGAGAGCAGCTTGTGAACTTGGGGTGATTAGACATAAAAGTGAAGTAATTAAACTGTGGAGAAAAAAAAAAGAACTTTTACTGTTATTACCATCTATTAATATTTATGTAATTTAAATTTAAAGCTTAGAATTCTTACATAATCTATTGCATTCAGGTAATAACAAGTGAAATGTTATAAGGTTTTTTCTGTTCGTGGACTTGTTAAAATAGTGGAACAGATTTGTGATCTTGTCTATTGCAGTTACGCATTAGTCCCATTTTATGTAACCTTTAAAAAGTTGTGATTACCTGAAATTCACAGTATCAGAATTGGCTTTTATTGAAATGTGCGCATCACTAAGCTTGACAAGTAGGTATTTTGCCATAGGTCATTGCATCCCACCATGACATAAACAGTGATTTGCATGTGTCAATCTTTTTTATTTAGCTTGTCATATACTGGAATGCTGTGACGGCCTTGCCCAGGATGTCATCAGCACCATAGGGCAAGCATTCGAGCTTCGATTTAAGCAGTACTTGCAATGCCCCTCTAAGACACCTACTTTATCTGATAGGTGAGTGCAATTGCAGAAGACAACTAAAGGACCTTCTTTAGCTTTCAGTTTACTTGATAAAATGTGGATAATGTTGCTAGGCACAGACAGGACTTGAATACTTAAAAATTATTTCTGCTGTATTAGCAAAACAGTGTTTGCCTAATGAACACGAAAGTACAGTCAGTTTAAGATAGACTAAATATGGATTTTACAATGATGCTAAAATGATCTTGTGTTTTGTGGTCTAGTTAGTAGGCAGAGATGGATGGCCAAGAATGGTTGTTATTTGTGGCATTTCCTCATTACTGTCACAGCAGCTGTGTCAGTTTAGATGGAGTAGGTTAGACTGCTGGGATTCCAAATGACTAATGGTGTTTCAGTATTTCTCATATTAGGGTGATGTTTCTAGTAATGTGATGTATTGCAGGGAGGTTTGACTGCACTGAGATCTGGAGGATACAAACTCTCCTTGTATATGTTCAAAAGGCTGGGATATAGCATTTTGTTTTCTTTAGAGGCATGGATTACTATGTGCTTACTAACATTACTAGAAACCCTAGTGAACTTTTACCCTCTGTAATCTCTTACATCAGAGCAAAAACAGGTATATAGGGACAATGCTACTATCCTAATCTGGAAGCATGCTGTATTCACATCTCTTGACTTTGTGAGGTTCTTACAGAATTACATTGGTGATAGAGCAGTCATAACTAAAGACAAAGACTTAGAGCCTAGTCAGTCAATCAAGTCATAATATTACAAGTGCTATTTTAAGGTTAGATAAAGTTGTTTGTTAATGCAGTTTATAATGGTCTTTAAAGCCAAGTTCAAACATACTCTTCTCAGCATAAAGAATTTGGTTCATTGCAAAGGAGGTTTATGTCAGTTTGACTAAACAGAGAAGATTTGACACATGATCCATCACTGCTTCCTGACTTAAAGTGGTAGCTGAAGTGTCCATACAATATGCTGTAGTGATCCTCTGACAGGCAGTCTTAACCTGCTGAAAGTGTCTGTAAGTGCTTTAAAAACTGTCTTTAAGCGAGAGGCAAAAGAAAGCACTCTCTTCCTTACAGGATGCAGAGTTTTGAGGACCCATGGACAGAGGAAGATAACGAGGCAACAGAGCATCCCTATTACAACGACATCCCAAATAAAATACCTCCCCCTGGCGGATTCCTTGACGCCAGGCTCAAAACAAGGCTTCTCACTGCTGCAGACACAGCTCAGGTAAGTATAATTTCATTTCTACTCTCCTGCTGATCGATCCAAAATTTTTAAAAGACGTGTTTTATTGTGGATACCTTGGGACTGTCTGTAATTCACAGCCTTTCCTGTGTGGCCAGTTTCCATCTGAATAGCCATTGCAGATTGAGGGGGCAACACATTAGGCAGAATCAGAACAAATTAAAGGAGGTGAAATCCTTGTGGTATTAAAAGATTAACGAGGTTCAAGGAACAGAAATCCACTGGGGGCTACTACATTTGCAAAAACCACGTCTGCTTCAGAGAGTATCAAATAGTGCACATTAACTGGGAATGATTTAATGCAGAATCATTTAAACAATCTAGTGCAGCCATTACTAGCAGTTCATTATGTTAATGACTTGGGAGTGATCAGTATTCAGCCAGGTTCTTAGGTAGGTTTTGCACCTCTTGTCGAACTAAGGTCAGCTTGACTATTTCCACCAGCACTCCTGTCGAAAGTTTGACTTCAGTATCAATGTAGCCCCCTAAGAGGTGTTTTCAGATCCAGCACAAATTTGCTTAAATCCAGAGGGATCCTGTCTGTAGCCAACATCCTCCCCTCAATGCCCAAGTACTTCCCCTGGTACCAGGGTGAATCTTTCAGCTTATGGTGTGAAGAGTGCTGGGGCTGTCTTCTGGTCCCAGCTGTGTTTCTGTGGAACACTTTTCCCAGTAACAGGTTGACAAGACTCACTACATGGTAGAAACTAAAGAAAGTATGCATCATTTGGTATCATAGGGGGTCACTAAAAGCAGAAACCAGGGAAGAACACCTGAAGGTGACTGGTAATATCGTACACTTAAGCAAATGTATTTGGGATATATATATTCTTAAATTATGATGAATTGGAAAGGAAGAGTGAGGGTACACAAAATACATCCAAGGAAATTGGCAGAGCCACTTGTAATGTGTCTGAGCATTTTAAAGGCAATTTAAAAATTCCTTGCACATGTGTCCATTCTAGTCTGCATCAAGAATTGGAGGAGAGCAAATTTATTATCAGAGCCATCACTTAGGAGAAAAATTCAGTGAAGAATGGCATCACGGGCCTGTTAAACAAGGTGAGTTTTGCTACTTTTAGCTGTAATACTGCAGGTGGTCTTGAAGGACAAAGCATGTGAAACTCTGGTGCCTCAAAGCCTTAAGGCAATGAACAGAACTTGGTTGATAGGTTCCCTTTGTCTGAGTTTCAGTGTTGATACCAGTGAAAAGTACTTGATAATTACCTCTGGATAAATTATTAAATGCACACCTTCATTAAATATTTTTTTCTGCAGAGCAGTTCATAAATAGAATTACCCAGAATTTCAGCTTTCTAACTTTCTGTATCTTAAAACCGCATGATATTTAAGGGTCTGCTGCATGATCTGTTCTGAAAATGTGACCCACTAGGGTATACAAAACTGAATTTTTAAATGAAAAACCTAAAGTGAAAAGTTTAATTCAAAATGTGAACCAATGTTCTCTACTCAACAAATAGCAAATAGTGCATAATGTTCCTTTTGTTGTCTTTGAATTTCAAGTAATTTCAAAACACGTATAAAAGTTTCACCCCATTCAGCTTTATTTTACTGTGTTTCTGGGGACACTTTTGTTCAAAGGCCAGAATATATTCCCTATTATTAATCTCTACACATTTGAGGATTTTATACCTTCTCCTCCTCTCATGACTCCCCAAGAGAATATAATTTTTGAAATTTACAATCTTTATTTACAAAGATTTCCTTTCCTCCTGGGAAATGACCCAACCATATCTGCATTGAAACACAGTTCTGAATCCATTAATTAATACTTTTTCTGCTAGATCCAACAATTATTGACTCATATCTCCCAGTCCAGGAAATTTTAAACCTGTGGTGATGTGGTGTGATGATAATTGGTCAACACTGTTCTGTCGATTACACAAAAAAAGTCTTGACTTTTCTAGGGTCTCTGGATATTTGTAGTATGTCAGAAGAGAAATCAGAAGTACCACCAACAGGAGAGCTGCCAATATATGTAAACACCCAGCATATAAATAGAGAAGATCTATTGGCACTTCAGGCAGATGCTGAAAGTACCTTCAGTGGAACAGTAGAGGATGCTGAAGCAAACAGCCCAGGAAAGGATCTGTTTGACATGAGTGAGTTCCCTTCCTATTCACTTCCTTTCTAATTAGTGACCGAACATGTTTATGCATTAGTTCTGTGTTAAAAAAAAAAAAAAAAAAAAAAAAAAAAAAAAAAAGAAGAAAATTCAGTTTTTGAAATTTAGTGTTCTTGGTGTAATTATGGTGAATTTTAATATCCATTTTGGTTTAGTATTGGACTGAACTAAAATAAGAGTGGCTGAAGACTTGGAGCTAGTCTGTATAACATCTGAGTTAAGTTTAGTTGCAGTCCATGTTATCCTTAATATCACGGACAATTATATCAGAAGAAAAATTAATCAGGAAGCTTGCCATACAGGAAAGTCAAGGAGGGTGAAGGTATGGATAGGTGGAGAACTGTCTTCAGCCTGTCCTGTGAGTATGTTATGAGGAAGTCAATGCATATATGAAAAGCTTTGTGCTACAAGAAATCTAGCATGGAAATTAAAATACTGACTTACTTCTTAGTCTGGATAGGCCTACTGTCCTGTCTGTTCCAGCTTCGAAGGCAGCTTTTCCTAGATCAGAATCATCACCATAGCTGCAAAACCACAGCTTAAGCATCAGCCATAGTATTGGTGCTACTAATATACACTGTTTTCAGACTTGAGAAGATAGATATATAAGGTGAAGAAATAGTGAAAGAATTTGATACACAGAAAATTTTTTTGGGTTTTCTACCTTTTTCTCTTCCTGCCTCAAATAAATTGCTTCTCCATGCTTTATTTAATTCAGTTCACATAATTAAAGGGCAGTGAGACAAAAGTAGTTGGTGCCTAAAAATTATTTGAAAATAAAGTATCTACACTTCTGTTATCTTAGTATAGAAAAAAACATTTTCCTGGCATGTTTTTGCTGAGATATGGCTCTATTTCCACAACCTAGTGGGATGTTCAATTGAAAGAAAGGAGGAGGGAAGAAAGTTGATGGAGTATCTATCTGTGAATATAGGTCTGAAAGGAGAAAAATCTGCTATTTGAAATCAGGGTTGTTAACTGTTATCAGCCATTGGAACATCAGAGAACAGTAGTATTAGAAAATGTGCCAATTAGCCCTAAGATAGTGGCTTGTTGAGATAAACATATGTTAGACTTTATGCAGACTGCGGTATAGTGAAGACATTTATAAGCTACTTTTAATAGCTGGCTGAGATATCAATAAACGGTGACAGCACAATATCTTTCCTATTTCTTTGGCCTAAACTAGCCTCTCTGTGGCCCCATGCAAACAGGGCTTTGTACTTCTTGCTTCTGAACAATCTGTTTAGAGTTGGTGTATTGCTTCACTGTGCTGCTCTCCAGATGTCCTTTTGTAAGCCTAGGGGCAGAGAACAACATTTATTTTTGATATGTACTGGTGGGCCAGATGAAGGTCGTGCAAGAGGAAGAGGTCAGTACAACATGTAACAAAGCACTCTGTGCACCCTCTTTGCTATTTTTGTAAGACTGTTGGGATCCATAATGACACTTCTTTCTACTCAACTCTACAGTTGCACTGAGTTCAGGATGTAGCTGAGGTTTAAAATATGCTTCCCCAAGGCTGGTTTTAACTAGGCAAATGATGTTAAATGTGTTAACCTGTGTCTGTTTTGTGAAGTTCTCTTCCTAGAGGGAGGTAGGAGTAGGCTGAGTGGTGAGGGTGAATGTTCCCTACTAGACATAGCCTTGGGCTGGAGACTCAGTAATGGATAATTTTTAAATGAATAAGTTGTTTGAACAGAGACCAGATATGAGTATAATGACATTAGGTACCTCTATTATGTAATTTATTTGAAATTAAGCTGTCTGACATACCTAGAAAGACTGAAGGAAAGATTTGCCTGCTACCAGATCATATAAATACAGCTGCTGACAATAGCCACTACTGAAATAAACCAGTATCTTTCAAGATATCCTGCCAAGGTTCAGTCTGATTTTTATCAGTATCATTCTGTGCATAACACACATTTTAAAAACATTACACTCCTCAGTCTTAATATATTATGTAAATCAGTATGTCTATTAATGTATATTCTCTTATTTTTTCATAAAGAGAAGTGGTTGTAATGCAAAACAAATTCAGTTTAAAATGATCAGAAAATCACCATTTGGCTACTTTTACCTCTGAATTTACCTCTGAATGATCCTGCTCTTGTTTCTCTTTCCATAACAAGAACCATTTGAAGATGCTCTTAAGAATCAAACATCTGAGGCTATGTTGAAGAAATCCACCTCCACGGGATGCACCAGTCCTCCTTTATCTAGAGTAGCTGTCCGGACTGAAGCTGAAGAGCTGAGTGCAGAGCCATGGTATCAAGGAGAGATGAGCAGGAAAGAAGCAGAACAGCTATTAAAGAAATGTGGAGATTTCCTTGTGAGGAAGAGTACCACGAATCCTGGCTCCTATGTGCTGACAGGCATGCACAAAGGACAAGCCAAGCATCTTCTTTTGGTGGACCCAGAAGGAACTGTAAGCACTGACTCCTCACTAATAGATGAGGTTTCTGACTCTACTCATTTTCTGTAAATGCCTTTAATTTTTACAGTTTGTTTGCACCTTACCATAAGCACCACTTCATATCTCTGATGTGCCATCACCTCTCTAATTCTCTCCCTGATGCCTAGCAGAAGACCTAACACATGATTTCTGCACATTGCAGGGATCTTAGGATCTTAGGGACCTGATTCCCAAGCAAGTTCACACTTGGACCACTGCTGTGCAGTCTTGGTCAAAAGTGCAGCTAAGCCACTTCAGCTTTCTTGCTAAAGGAAGGAGGTTTGGCTAGTCTGCTTGGCATCTCTGGGATATGGATACCCAGGATATTGGCATACCTGGGATATGGACCAGGCCCTGCATGTATGCCCAGGAGAGAATTGGGGTAAGCCTGTTCCATTTCCTTGCTGCAAAAAGACCCTCTCAGCTGATTAAGGGACAGTCCCCACAGCAGGATGGAGGGGGCAAGGGAGCTCTAGTTTTCTGTAGCTGTCTTGTCCTGCTTCTGTGGAGGCATAAACTCTTCAGAGAGATTGAAATCATTGTAATGAGTTTTAGCTCCTGGCAGCTGCAAGTAGGCAACTCCTTTTCCTCTATAAAGGACAGTTGTAGATAACCAGCCCCAAGATAAGTGAAAAACTCCCACAAAGGAGTTGGCCTGTTGGCATCTGATCTGAGAAAGCCATGACAGAATTACATCAGTCCTGCAGAGTCCGTATTGCAGTAGTGAGGAGCGTCCATGGTACTTGTTGCAATTAGTTATATTTGCCACATGAGGCCAGTCAAAGAATGATTTTGCACTTTTGAGGTGCCAGCTGCCTAGTTCTGGGTTTGATGGGTACATCAGCCATGGGGAGTGACTTTATGCCTCTTGAGGGACAGCTTCTTTGCTAAAACTTGCCAAAATTAAGTTACCTTTTTGACTCCTGCAGCAAGGTAGCCTAATTCTCTTTTCCGCCTGAACCCACAAATAACTGTTAGAGGCTACTGCATGGCAAACACTGCTGTGTGACCTAGCAAGTGCAGGAACGCTGTGTCTCACCAGGAGCTCTGCTGCAGGGCTGGCATGGAATACTCAGTTCCTGTGATGACTTCCAGAGCATCTTTTTCCTGTACAGGTTGGAGGGGCTCCCCCATCTTTGCTGCTCTGCCTCTAGTACATCTCTAATTTGCTGACCTCCTTGGCTGGGGACCTGCTTGTTATTTGCACCTATCCTTCCCTCAGCCTGATTGTGTCGTCATGACCCAAATGGCTCTGAGATGCCTGGCTCAGGAGGCACTGTTCCAGAACAGTGGTTTTATGCAACTGTGGTTAGTTGCAGACAGCTGTGCTGTCTGTACGATTTGTGAGATCTTGACACAGCTTCTGAGCAGCCCTATTTGCAGCTTGTCAAAGTGGAGAATCATCAATAACATGCCAGTCTGTGGCCAGCCGCCACAGCATGCCAGTGGCTTGCATTTCATCTGCATGGTCTCAGTGGGATTGTTCCTGAAGACTGATTCACACAAATGTTGCCTGAAAATTAATTTCACACACAGTAGCCAGTGACATGTAACAAGTCTTAAGGGTGTGTTCTCAGAGCAGAGTTAACTGTCCAGTTGCTTCTGCTCTCATCCAGCTAACAAAAAAGTAAAAAAATATAGAAAGAGATCCCTAATTCAGACAACAGATGCCTAAAATGGAGGACTGCAGGATTTTTCTACATTTAGAATTAGACCTCTGTAATGATAGTGTCTAACTTAGGTAAGAACATCTCAGAATACAGATAAGTAAAGTTAGTGCTTTTTAGAAGATATATTTTCATTTTGAAAATATAGTTTAACTTTAGAGACAGTGATATTTCAAAGCAGAATTCTTCAGAAATTGGGAGAGCCTTTTCATTTCTTTCAGTGATATAACTATGTGTAGACTGACCAGAAAGCATCATATGCCATCATAGCATCATAGTTGTTTCTTTTTTTTTTTTTTTTTCAATCCTGTGACATATTGTGTTTAACTTCTAGCAATTTTACAGAACTTAATGTTGAAAATTAGTTATTTCAGGAGAGGTGTCCACCACAGCATAAGATGACTTTTGAAAGTTTTAACACAAGTTTTTCTCTCTTCCTGAGAATAGATCAAGGAAAATAAACAACATTTCTTACTCAGAGCAGTGGTCACAGGCATTTGCTTGAGTCAGTGTAGAGCCAGCCCTATACAAAGTTTTAGTGCAACATGCTTGCTTGAGGTGGATTTGTGCTCTGCCTGTAGCAGTTGTATGCCTAACTCATTTGAAACATAGGAAGGAAATGCTTTGTGAACATGTGGCTAAATAATTAGAGATTGCTTTGTAATATAGATTAGTTTTTGTGTTCTGATAATTTTGAGTGTTTTATCCTGCAATATCAGTTTCGTCCTATCCACCACCTATGGGTGGAATATTGTATACCAGCAGGGTGCTGCTACAGAGGGCTGGCATGGGGTCTAGAAAAATGATTTTTCCTGCCCTGAAGTGTTTCAGTTCCAAAGGCACAGGGATATATTGTGCAGCATAGGACAAACCCAAGTTAAGCACATATGGTGGATGGATCACTTTCTAGGAATGGAATTTTTGATTAGTGGAAGAAGAAAAGCACAAAAATGCTGAGGTGTACAAAGCAGCTGTTTTCTGACACGTCTGGCATGTTAGCTCTTCCTGATTAAAAAGGTACATACATCTCAAAGAAGTAGGTGGTCCTTTGAAAAAGAAAAATCTGACAGTGAAACAAAGTCATGAACAGACGTTTTCAAGCAGACCTATTCAGAAAGAGTAATAAGAGTAGGCTGGTCCATGAAAGTGCATGCAAAATATCTATTTGGTGAAAATAGGGGGAGTGGGAGAGAAAATAGAAGCCACACTGGATAAGCACCAAATTTCCACCAATTTTGATGGAAGAGGTAACAGTTTCTAAAATATTATTTTGTCATTTTATTCTTAGATAATTTTAGTGTTAAGCTAAGGGGGAAAGTACCTTACTCTTTAATCTACCTTCTTGCATCTTTTTTTTGAAGGTTCGTACAAAAGATCGTGTCTTTGACAGCATAAGTCATCTCATCAACTATCACCTTGAGAATAATTTGCCTATAGTTTCTTCAGTGAGTGAACTCTGCCTGCAACAGCCTGCTGAAAGAAAACACTGACTCGAGACAACTATTTTAGTTATTGCAACTTGCAAGCTATAACTGGTTGAAATTGCAGATCTGAAAGGAAAATGTACATTAAAACCCCCACCCCACATATTCATATACATTTCACAAATATGTTTTATTTAAGAAGCTCCATTTCATATGGTCCACTTGAACATTTTCAATGCTTTATGTGACATGAAATCACATCAGAAGCCTTTCTTAAAAGGAATTTCAACAAAATTGCTCAGATTCTCTAATGTGAATGTTGATAGTGTATATACACATTATATATATAAATACAGTATATATTTATATTTTTCAAGTCAGTCTGTTGACAGTATAAAACTATCTTCTGTGCCATGTGTTTTTACCAAAAGAAAAATAACAAGTGTGATTGTTCAGATAAAAAAATAGAATTCAGCAGTCTCAATTTCTTGAGAAATTTAATATTACAAATCTTATTTCTGATTTTACCTAAGAAGCACAACTATGGGGATTACAGATGGATTATGCTAGTTAACTATGGAAGGAATCTGAATTCAGTAACTAGTATTCCAACTCAGAAATTTAGCATAAAATGTTTTTTAAAAGCATTATTCACTGTCACTGATATCAAAAGGATTTTATCTTTCTGACGTCAAGTTTGAATTCTTATATGATGCTATTCAAAACATTTGTATCTTACTTTAGCAATGATTTGGTGTGATCTCTATGTGTATGACGTGTGTGTTTTGATTTTTCTAATGATATTGTAACAGTGTACTGTAACTTCAATTTTTTAATTTCAGTGTTAAGGTTATTTATAAGTAGTTCTCTGCTTATGGTGAAGATCTAGGTGTCCTTGAACTAACAGTCTTAAACGAGATGTTGCATATTGATTAGACAAGTTCAAATAACTTGTGTTTAATAGGTTTAATACAAGATGTACATGACTGTTCAAAGACATATCTGAAAAATCTTTTCTTCTTGTAAGCAGTGAAAACTATCTGAACTCAGTGGTTGGTTTTGCAAATTATGTCACTTGCATTTACTTGCCAAAGCAACTTCATTTTGGCCTTCAGCAAGTGATAGCTATTGGAAATATACTGTTTTTCTCTAGATATCAAGTTTAAAAAATACACATACAATAAAGACACATTTCTGGCAGCAATGCCCTTGACTTTTGGTACTGGGAAATGCTTTAAGGGATGTTTGTACTGTCCACATTTAAACATTATATGAAGTTATTTTCCCATTCTATGAATCTCATTATGAGTCAAATTTAATAGACACAGTTCCTGTAAATGCAATGCTTGTGCCAGAGTCAAGACTTAGCCTTCAGCAATTCAAGGTCTTCTCTAGCACCAGTCTCTCAAATCAAATCTTCAGATCTGATTCATAAAAACTCAGCAGGGTAAGTCTAGGTTAAGTACCTGCCTACCCTGCAGTATACTTAAAGTTACATTTGGTTCTAAGAATTTGTCAAGTTTAAAAATCTGTCAAACCTTAATCAAACTGACTGAAGAATTCACTTAGAATATATTCAGCAGGACTATCATGTTAAAAATCTGAAATAATTTTCTTGTAGCTTCTGCTTTTAAATATGGTGAAGTTACCACTTGAAAGTTTGATTTTGAGTAATCTCAAAACTGAAAATTATTGAGACACCTAAGACTAATCATGCACCTATGTAAAAATACACTTGATTCTGTAATTAGGACATCCAGAAGCCAAAGACATTAGTGAACCAAATGCTTGTGATTAATTTTACTAAAGATAGTTATTATTTCATATTTCTAGGTCTGAATGGGAGCTGAGAGCTAAGGAGAGCAACTAAATGCTGAATTCAACCCAGATCAGTATGGCACTGAGTTTGGAGGAATTCTTGAAATTTTGTTTTACTAGGCTGGGAGTGGCAAGGAAATAGGAACAGATCTTATATGCCAAAGTAGTATTGACCAAAATGACATTGTTGGAGAGTCTCACAAAATGATTTTACTCACCCATGTCTCACCATTTTCCAGTTTAAATTATCTTAGCTCCACTTTTTTTTCTTATATAATGCTTGTTATTCCATGCTCTAGCCTTCCTGTAGCCATGTCCTGGAAAGTTTTCACTGTGATATCACTACCTATAAGAGAAGGTGTCTTTGAATATTTCATATCATTTCAGTAAAAGTCTGCTGCATAACCCTCTTAGGTGTCTTCAAGAAGCCCACCTGCTCCCTATGTCCATTTTGGATTCCTAAATATCCTGGAAAAATGTGGCAAGATTTAGGTGTATGTAGTCACTAAACATACATCAAAATAGATATCTTAATTTTTTTTACCACTGTCCTAGCTGTAGCTTTAATAACTTAGCAGCCACTTAGCTGCATGTTTTGGAAATTAAAGCTGATGCCAAGGAAATGAAACTGCTTGACAGAAATACCGAATTTCCCAGACTATATTTCACAAACTGTGCCTCCGGGGGAATGTGGCTATTTTGAGCTGCTCTGTCAGCACAGCCAATTTGCCCAGCTCAGCATATCCACTGGTGATGCAAAGGCTACATACATCGTGCCTAGATGGAATGTGGCCCAGGATGGCAATAGTGCCACTGCACTGCGACAGTGCCCTGCACACACCACGGGCCAGCAGATCCTGCCTGGCAACAGGTGAGCATACAGAGGCTTTTCTACATCGCTGGGAGCCACACAGACTCACAACTGCCCAGAAAGGAAGAGCATGTGTGCCGCTCCGTACTCCATTTGTGGATCCAGCCATGTTTCTGTCCCTGTCACTCTGGTAGATTTGGCTTTCCCCTTTATGAAAAGGGCAAATAAACTGTAAAGCTGTTTGGACAGCAGCTCCAAACCAGTTGTCATTAGACCAATTTTAAACTGATTTCAGCAAGAACTAATTGAATCTGCTAGAGTGGCTGGGCTCACTTCTGTGAGGAGCCAACACTGCCACCAACTTAAGAGAAGTAAAAGTAATAAGACAGATTTAAATGTTGAGAAATAGCAGAAAACCTACAACTGACAGCATAATAATATGACTCTTAATGTTCACCTTTGTTTTGGAGTACCTCACCTTTTTTATTATTTTTTATGCAATCTCAAGGACTAGACATTTCCTTGTGGTACTTCAGTACCTGACTTCAAGAAGTGGGATTTTACTGAATGAAAAACATTTCTAGACTCAATAGAAATCACTGAGATTAGGTGATATTATAGTATCTTTTGATGTTTTTCCAGTGAATAGCTGAGAAGTCAGAACTGGAACGCTAAATATCCTTCAAGACTGTCTACATTGGTTTTGAGTCTATCTGATTAACAGTTTTGATTTCAGTTGTGTTGCAACTACAGGAATGAATGGCAATGAAAACACATTCAATGACTTTAAACAAAGAACAATTATGTGTGAACCAGATGATTTTGATTACTTTTTATTGCAGATGTAGACTAATTATTAAGTTAATAAAATTCATCCAGTGTTGCTGGCAGTGACAGGCTGCACATCTAGGTACAATCACGTTCCCAAACTTTTCATTATTTCAGATGCTTCAGAAGCAATGAAACTTGAAAATATGGTTTGAAAACAGAATTACCTTCTGACAAATGGGAGTTTGCTCAGAGTGAGAAGTTGCAGCTTCCCTTTCCTTAATGCAAGAGGAGAATGTTCAAACTAACCATACCTGGCTGGTCACCATATGAGAAGATGCAATTTCCATGGCTTAATGCCTGCCTTTTTACCCAGTTATACAGTTGTTTCACTCCACTTCATTTCCTACAGGGCTCACAATGGGAGGTAACACTGGTTCTGCCAAAACCTGTCTGCCAGACATTCAATAAAAGCTTGAACAAAGGACATAGTCCTGGGACCAGGACTTCAGTGCAAAATGTGCAAATGGAACAAAATGTTTAACAGTCTGGTAAATGTCACCTGCCAGCACTAAGTTTTCTATAGCCTATATTAATACTTTTTCCTGGAATAATATACTCACATTTCTTATCACCATGGTCCCCAGGCATCATATGAAGTAAGACGAGGAGAATTTAAAAAAAAAAATATACTGTAGTGTGATTGCTGCTGGCACATCAATACCAGATATCAGATATAATGTATTAATAATAGAATTGATGCATATTTAGACATTTGTCAGTAGATTTGATAACCAGCAAAGTTTTGCACCTTCTAGGAAATTTGCAGTTATCAGAGGGATATTTGGAACTTGTGAATACTCTGAAAAAAGATTACAAATCCTGCTTTCAAAACTTTGTTCTTAGCTTCCAATGTCTATCCAAAGTAAATGGTAGAACCAAGAATTTATATTAAGTAAACCATAATCCATATTTGCATAAATAAATTCTAAGCTGAAGTAAGAGACATACTTCCCTTTTTATCTGCCTGACACTTTCAAATTATGTCTGCATAAAGTCTAAATTTAGACATACCTTAGTGTACTGTCAAAACCACTTTGACTTACATGGTCTTTTTTGCTCAAGCTGAGGTTTGCACTCTTCACACATCCATGTGTGTTCAAAACTGTCAAAATAGTGTGTGAATTTCCACTTAATGCTCTGTGATCAGCTGGACTTACTCTGCTCACTCACAGTGTCTTGGTGCACCTTGGTGATATCTGCATTGGATGCAGCTGGAATGAGGGCAGGCCTGTGGAAAGATAACATGGACATACATACAATTTGCCTACAGTTAACTAGAGGCTTGGATAGAGCGTGAAAAGCTGTCTTGGGAGAAAAAACTTCAGGGATAAGAAATGTGAAGCCTGGAAACATGAGCCAGTAGGCATTTAAGCCACTAATGAGAATAGAGAGTTGTTGCCAAATTATAAGCATGCTAATTGGTTGATAGAGTTAAAGCAGAACCTCTGGGGATACAAAGCCTACTGCTCATCTCTTATTGAGACATTTATGTTCACAAGCCCTGATCTGTTCCTCTGCACACTCCAAAGTAAACATCTCCTAAGGCTTCCAGGGAGAAAATGCAGGGCGGCTTTTTTTTTTTTTTTTTTTTTTGTCTCAGTAATGG